TCTAGTTCAGTTCTAGTTCAGTTCTAGTTCAGTTCTAGTTCAGTTCTAGTTCAGTTCTAGTTCAGTTCTATATGTAATTCACATAATGTTCATAGTTCAGTTCTAGTTCAGTTCTAGTTCAGTTCTAGTTCAGTTCTAGTTCAGTTCTAGTCAGTTGCTAGGTTCAGTTCTAGTTCAGTTCTAGTTCAGTTCTAGTTCAGTTCTAGTTCAGTTCTAGGTTCAGTTCTAGTTCAGTTCTAGTTCAGATTTCTATTCATTCTAGTTCAGTTCTAGGTCAGTTCTAGTTCAGTTGCTAGTTCCGTTCTAGTTCAGTTCTAGTTCAGTTCTAGTTCAGTTGTAGTTCAGTTCTAGTTCAGTTCTAGTTCGTTGTAGTTTCAGTTGGAGTTCAGTTCTAGTTCAGTTCTAGTTCAGTTGTAGTTCAGTTGTGAGTTCAGTTCTAGTTCACAGTTCTAGTTCAGTTCTAGTTCAGTTCTAGTTCATTCTAGTTCAGTTCTAGTTCAGTTCTAGTTCAGTTCTAGTTTTCAGTTCTAGTTCAGTTCTAGTTCAGTTCTAGTTCAGTTCGTTCAGTTCTAGTTCAGTTCTAGTTCAGTTCTAGTTCAGTTCTAGTTCAGTTCTAGTTCAGTTCTAGGTTCAGTTCTAGTTCAGTTCTAGTTCAGTTCTAGTTCAGTTCTAGTTCAGTTCTAGTTCAGTTCTAGTTCAGTTCTAGTTCAGTTCTAGTTCAGTTCTAGTTCAGTTCTAGTTCAGTTCTAGTTCAGTTCTAGTTCAGTTCTAGTTCAGTTCTAGTTCAGTTCTAGTTCAGTTCTAGTTCAGTTCTAGTTCAGTTCTAGTTCAGTTCTAGTTCAGTTCTAGTTCAGTTCTAGTCAGTTCTAGTTCAGTTCTAGTTCAGTTCTAGTTCAGTTCTAGTTCAGTTCTAGTTCAGTTTCTAGTTCAGTTCTAGTTCAGTTCTAGTTCAGTTCTAGTTCAGTTCTAGTTCAGTTCTAGTTCAGTTCTAGTTCAGTTCTAGTTCAGTTCTAGTTCAGTTCTAGTTCAGTTCTAGTTCAGTTCTAGTTCAGTTCTAGTTCAGTTCTAGTTCAGTTCTAGTTCAGTTCTAGTTCAGTTCTAGTTCAGTTCTAGTTCAGTTCTAGTTCAGTTCTAGTTCAGTTCTAGTTCAGTTCTAGTTCAGTTCTAGTTCAGTTCTAGTTCAGTTCTAGTTCAGTTCTAGTTCAGTTCTAGTTCAGTTCTAGTTCAGTTCTAGTTCAGTTCTAGTTCAGTTCTAGTTCAGTTCTAGTTCAGTTCTAGTTCAGTTCTAGTTCAGTTCTAGTTCAGTTCTAGTTCAGTTCTAGTTCAGTTCTAGTTCAGTTCTAGTTCAGTTCTAGTTCAGTTCTAGTTCAGTTCTAGTTCAGTTCTAGTTCAGTTCTAGTTCAGTTCTAGTTCAGTTCTAGTTCAGTTCTAGTTCAGTTCTAGTTCAGTTCTAGTTCAGTTCTAGTTCAGTTCTAGTTCAGTTCTAGTTCAGTTCTAGTTCAGTTCTAGTTCAGTTCTAGTTCAGTTCTAGTTCAGTTCTAGTTCAGTTCTAGTTCAGTTCTAGTTCAGTTCTAGTTCAGTTCTAGTTCAGTTCTAGTTCAGTTCTAGCTTATTTCTAGTTCAGTTCTAGTTCAGTTCTAGTTAGTTCTAGTTCAGTTCTAGTTCAGTTCTAGTTCAGTTCTAGTTCAGTTCTAGTTCATTCTAGTTCACTTCTAGTTCAGCTTCTAGTTCACTTCTAGTCCTTCTAGTTCAGTTCTAGTTCAGTTCTAGTTCAGTTCTAGTTCAGTTCTAGTTCAGTTCTAGTTCAGTCTAGTTAGTCTAGTTCAGTTCTAGTTCAGTTCTAGTTCAGTTCTAGTTCAGTTCTAGTCAGTTCTAGTTCAGTTCTAGTTCAGTTCTAGTTCAGTTCTAGTTCAGTTCTAGTTCAGTTCTAGTTCAGTTCTAGTTCAGTTCTAGTTCAGTTCTAGTTCAGTTCTAGTTCAGTTCTAGTTCAGTTCTAGTTCAGTTTCTAGTTCAGTCTAGTTCAGTTCTAGTTCAGTTCTAGTTCAGTTCTAGTTCAGTTCTAGTTCAGTTCTAGTTCAGTTCTAGTTCAGTTCTAGTTCAGTTCTAGTTCAGTTCTAGTCAGTTTAGTTCAGTTCTAGTTCAGTTCTAGTTTAGTTCTATTCAGTTCTAGTTCAGTTCTAGTTCAGTTCTAGTTCAGTTCTAGTTCAGTTCTAGTTAACTTCTATTTCAGTTCTAGTTCAGTTAAACATTAATTTAATTCTTCTTAAGATAAAGTGTATGTATGATTCGCTAAAGCTGAATATTGCTGCTGGTTGTCTTTGTCTTCTCTTAAGTGGGTTTTAGGTTTACAATTTTGATATATTTGTTATTTTTCTTTTCTACAATATAATTTTATAAGTGGCGGGTTTTTGGTGGCAGTTTACTTTATTGTTTAAACTTAAAATGGTTTTGATATTGTGCGTATTGTTTTCTACTTGTTTATTCGTTTTACAAGAGGATTTCAATGTTTATTGTTTTATTCGATTTTATTTTTTGTGACGGTTTTCTTAAGTGGTTTAATGTGGTTAAATATTGTTATATTTTTCAATTGGTGGCTGCCTAAGGGGAATTTCTCTTAGGGAAAACATGAATGATTTTCACAAATATTTTATAAACAATTTAACACATTTGTTGGTTTTCAACAAGCTGTTTACATTAAATAAAAGAGTTAATAAAAATACTTAAAAGAAATTTAGATAAAAATGTTATAATAATATTTACTTCTTTCTCAAATGTTATAATTCAAAGCTTTGGGGATCAAAACGTTTATATTTAATGCTAATAATTTCTTTTTAAAAATTTCCCTTTTATTTATTATGTAAAACTTAGTTTAAAATTCTTATTATTTACTAACTATTTTAATTCTCTAATGATTATTATGGCAAATTATTTTTGTACATTTAGAAAACAAACAATCAGAATACATTTGTTGTATGCTCAACTGGAAATAAAACAATAAATAAATTTATTAAATTAAAATCCTAGATACAATCGATAAAAACGTACTTTCTGTTTAAGCTGACATATGATAATGTGTAACTGTGTTTGTAAGCGACCCATACAGCGTTATACACATTTAGAAAATTTCGTTTATGTGTTTTGGAAATATTATAACTTACAAAACTGTAATTAAGTAATTCATTGGAACTTTCAACAGAATAACACATATGTATGTATATACATATAAACACGCATACAACACTTGTATAATTATGCTAAAATCTTTGTCAGGCTGTCTGTCTATCTACTGCCAAAAACGAATGTGTTTAAATACATTTTTAATGTAATTATACGTAGACTACTATTAGATACAAAACGTATGCCGATGAAAACGTATTGTTGGAATTAGGGTTTTAGAAAGAGATTGTGGAGGTGGTACTTTTTGTTTCACAATTATTCTATATAATCTCAGTTGTTCTTTTTCAGTGGTACTTTGCCTGAACGAAAAGTACCAACAACTCCCTTCCCTTAAAGACTCTTACTCACTTAGAACTCTGCCTATTTGGCATCAGAAATTTCCCTCCAATGGATTATCTCTTACTCAGAAGTCTAATATAATAAAAAATTCAAAAATTTGAGGCCCAAGTTTTCTGGATCTTTATAGATAGCGGAGTCGATTAAGCTATGTTTGACTGTGTGTCTGTCTGTCAGTCCGTCTGTCTGTCTGTATGTCCATCTGTCTGTCTGTGTCAGTCCGTCTGTCTGTTTATTTCAACCGATTTTCTGAAAACCCCAGATATATTCGGGATCTAAACCTTCAATAATTCTGTTAGATATGCTTTCGAGAAGATCGATATTTGAAATCAGCAAAATTGGTCCATAAATAATGGAAATATGAGCAAACATCCAAGAAAAAACTCTGAACCAACCTCTGTGACCAAAAGTTCCCCTTTTCTAGGTTTGTTCTGCAAAACGTACTTTTTGAATTAACCATAAAATTGTCTATGTAAAGTAAAACACAAAGTCAGTAAATCGGACTACAAATGATTAAATATAATCGTTTTAAAAATTTTATATAACCGAGGTGATCTATTTCGGGGAGCCCTAGCCGAGCCCCTTGTTTGCCCATGAGGTTCAAATTCAAAACTTAAACTCAACAACACTTTCTCTTTACATTACACATTTATTCCTTAATATTGTTTGAAGATGCCGACCACTGCTCTTGCTTGTCTGTATGTGGTTTACAATTATTTGTTGTTAATAAATTTTTGTTGACTCTAGTTAATTTTCCTCATCTCCATCACTCACTAAGTATTTCAGTCAATTTTAATTAGCATAAATTTCACTTTTGTATTTAAGCTACATGGAGTTAAAAGAATATTAAAAAAGTTTTATTTTTTGTTGTCTAATTTATTTAATTGTTGAAAAATTACGAGGTGTTAAGGAAATTAAAAGAAGAATTTGTAAAATATTATGTTAATTTAATCAAGACACATGTTGTTATAAAATTATTTTGTTAAAAAGATTCGCGACAGTTTGCTAAAGTTAAGGAAGAAATGTGATATGAAATGTATGAAAAAGGGAAATTATAAAATTTTGGAAAAAATTTTAAGAAATCATGAAATAACAAGGATTAATTAAGGAAATGAAGAATATTGGGGAGATATAAATTATAATGACCTTTGACCTTCCACATTTAAAAGGGCAGATAATTGTCATTTAGCACGTTGTTTATAATTCAAAGGCCAAATTTAATTGAGCAAAAGCTAACAAGTCAATTAGAAGATATAAAAGAACTGTATGACCTTTGACCTTTAACATCTAATGTTAAAGATAAGAGATATTAAGCCTGTAGTTTAGAATCTTAAGACCAAGTTCTAAATAAAATTGATTTTCATTTAACGATTAAATTAATTTTTCAATATCATCTTTATCATTTAGTTGAACAGTGCGTATGATTAATAAATATTTTTATAGTAATAAATAATATTATGTATACGCTCCAAAACTAAAAGAAAAAAGTCAATAAAGAAATAAAAATTTAATTAACAAAAATGACTATATTATAAAAACATTACAACATAAAAACTAACTAAATAAATAACAATAACATCTACTAAATACTTTTTAAACATAAACATTAACAGCAAATAACTACACTATCTAGACAGATACTAATAATAAACGCAACGCAACGAAAATGTCGCATTTTTCAACAATATTGGAAAATTTACGCATGGTGGCCATAAAGCGGAGTCCCTTAACACAACAGAAACAAAAGCAAGCAACAACAACAACAGCAGCAGCAGCAACAGGCTGTTACCCCAACTTCACCACAACCACAACAACATGTAAATAATTCCCCCCAAGTGGCAGCTACAACAAATTCATATAATGATGAAGCATCAACCCATGAACCGGATGTAAAAATTAATAATGATAATAAACAATTTAAAGTTTTTATCAACAACAACCACCCACACCACAATCACCGGAAGCACCAACACCACCAACATGTACAAAATCCTCGCACAATCACAACAATGAAGATTATTCAATAGATAAAAACTCTAGTGGAAATACACCATCTACAAACGCCCCGACAAGAAAATCGCATTATTCCAGTAGTCATCATAGTCATAAACGACAAAGTATATCAGCACGTGGTTCTATAGGTTCTGCAGAAACATACTACTGCGAAAAACTCGCCCGGACGTGAACGTAATCGTGGCAGTGTTATTGTTGAAATTGATAGTGGCGGGGCTAGTGGTGGTTCAAAAAATGCCACTGGTTCGAGGGGTGCACGTGAACTATCGCCGACACCGAAAAATCAACAACGCAAAATGTCAACGGACTTTCGTTCGCGTGCCGGTAGTTTTATTCATGTTGATGAGGACGGTCGCAGTATATTAATGCGTAAACCGGTGCGTTTAAAAAATATCGAGGGTCGTCCAGAAGTTTATGATACTTTGCATTTTAAGGGAAGAGAGGTAAGTGAATTTTAATCGATATTTTAAAATTATTTTAAAGATTTTAAAACCTTTTTTGAAGAATGTAAGAAATGCTGAAATGTTTCATAGATAAAAACTTATGGCAGGGAAAATTAATGAGAGCCAAAAATTTAATTCTGAAAATTCTAGTTCAGTTCTAGTTCAGTTCTAGTTCAGTTCTAGTTCAGTTCTAGTTCAGTTCTAGTTCAGTTCTAGTTCAGTTCTAGTTCAGTCTAGTTCAGTTCTAGTTCAGTTCTAGTTCAGTTCTAGTTCAGTTCTAGTTCAGTTCTAGCTTAGTTCTAGTTCAGTTCTAGTTCAGTTCTAGTTCAGTTCTAGTTCAGTTCTAGTTCAGTTCTAGTTCAGTTCTAGTTCAGTTCTAGTTCAGTTCTAGTTCAGTTCTAGTTCAGTTCTAGTTCAGTTCTAGTTCAGTTCTAGTTCAGTTAGTTCAGTTCTAGTTCAGTTCTAGTTCAGTTCTAGTTCAGTTCTAGTTCAGTTCTAGTTCAGTTCTAGTTCAGTTCTAGTTCAGTTCTTCAGTTCTAGTTCAGTTCTAGTTCAGTTCTAGTTCAGTTCTAGTTCAGTTCTAGTTCAGTTCTAGTTCAGTTCTAGTTCAGTTCTAGTTCAGTTCTAGTTCAGTTCTAGTTCAGTTCTAGTTCAGTTCTAGTTCAGTTCTAGTTCAGTTCTAGTTCAGTTCTAGTTCAGTTCTAGTTCAGTTCTAGTTCAGTTCTAGTTCAGTTCTAGTTCAGTTCTAGTTCAGTTCTAGTTCAGTTCTAGTTCAGTTCTAGTTCAGTTCTAGTTCAGTTCTAGTTCAGTTCTAGTTCAGTTCTAGTTCAGTTCTAGTTCAGTTCTAGTTCAGTTCTAGTTCAGTTCTAGTTCAGTTCTAGTTCAGTTCTAGTTCAGTTCTAGTTCAGTTCTAGTTCAGTTCTAGTTCAGTTCTAGTTCAGTTCTAGTTCAGTTCTAGTTCAGTTCTAGTTCAGTTCTAGTTCAGTTCTAGTTCAGTTCTAGTTCAGTTCTAGTTCAGTTCTAGTTCAGTTCTAGTTCAGTTCTAGTTCAGTTCTAGTTCAGTTCTAGTTCAGTTCTAGTTCAGTTCTAGTTCAGTTCTAGTTCAGTTCTAGTTCAGTTCTAGTTCAGTTCTAGTTCAGTTCTAGTTCAGTTCTAGTTCAGTTCTAGTTCAGTTCTTCTAGTTCAGTTCTAGTTCAGTTCTAGTTCAGTTCTAGTTCAGTTCTAGTTCAGTTCTAGTTCAGTTCTAGTTCAGTTCTAGTTCAGTTCTAGTTCAGTTCTAGTTCAGTTCTAGTTCAGTTCTAGTTCAGTTCTAGTTCAGTTCTAGTTCAGTTCTAGTTCTAGTTCAGTTCTAGTTCAGTTCTAGTTCAGTTCTAGTTCAGTTCTAGTTCAGTTCTAGTTCAGTTCTAGTTCAGTTCTAGTTCAGTTCTAGTTCAGTTCTAGTTCAGTTCTAGTTCAGTTCTAGTTTTCTAGTTCAGTTCTAGTTCAGTTCTAGTTCAGTTCTAGTTCAGTTCTAGTTCAGTTCTAGTTCAGTTCTAGTTCAGTTCTAGTTCAGTTCTAGTTCAGTTCTAGTTCAGTTCTAGTTCAGTTCTAGTTCAGTTCTAGTTCAGTTCTAGTTCAGTTCTAGTTCAGTTCTAGTTCAGTTCTAGTTCAGTTCTAGTTCAGTTATAGTTCAGTTCTAGTTCAGTTCTAGTTCCAGTTCTAGTTCAGTTCTAGTTCAGTTCTAGTTCAGTTCTAGTTAAGCTATTCGTTCTAGTTTCAGTTCTAGTTCAGTTCTAGTTCAGTTCTAGTTTAGTTATATTCAGTTCTAGCTTTCCAGTTCTAGTTCAGTTTAGTTCAGAATCTAGTTCAGTTCTAGTTCAGTTCTAGTTCAGTTTCTATTCAGTTCTTAGTTCAGTTCTAGTTCAGTTCTAGTTCAGTTCTAGTTCAGTTCTAGTTCAAGTTCTAGTTCAGTTCTAGTTCAGTTCTAGTTCAGTTCTAGTTCAGTTCTAGTCAGTTCTAGTTCAGTTCTAGTTCAGTTCTAGTTCAGTTCTAGTTCAGTTCTAGTTCAGTTCTAGTTCAGTTCTAGTTCAGTTCTATCTTAAATTTATAATCCCCATATAAGTTACATGATATACAGTTATGGTCCTCAAACTAAAACCTCTTATACTTTTGCAACCCAAAATGTGTATAATTAACCGGCAACAAAGAGCTCATTACAAACGTAACAAATACGTATGTATTTCCATAGAAGTTTGCAACAAAAGGAGCAAGAACAATAAAAACTTTATTAATAAATATCAAAATAAACTATTTGTAGACACCCACTTTTCTTAAATTAATGAGTAAAATATTTCATAAAAAATAAGCAGAAAAAGAGAAAACTGACTAAACAGTGTTTTTGCTGTTGAAAACATAAATGCAAGATTTTAATTTACTATCCACAAAAAGAAACGAAAACACACACTCAAAAATACTTAAAATATTAATCGGTTCATACAGGAGCTCGTAACAGCGCAGTGACGTGCATGCAAGTAAGATACACTTACACTTGTGGACAGAAAAGTTTGTTTTGTTTTAAATATATACTAACTTTAAAAGAGTAATGAAAACAACTATTTTTCAACCCACATGTGTTCATACTTGTGCATACATAACACAACAAACATAAGAGAAATAAAAATTGTACAAACTTAAACAATGTAAATGAAATTTAAAGAGGAAAGAAAAGATTTCAAAACAAAAAATGTAAAAGTTAAATTAAAACCACAAGTCGGAAGTTGTTGTTAAACAAGTTGTATCTTGTAGTTAAAAAAATAAACTACAAGTGTTTTCAGTTACTAGCAGTAAAAGAATGACAAATATTTTATACGACAAATAGAAATTACTATTAGGATTTTCAATATATTGTCCTATAAGTAGTAGTGCACAAAAAATTTGAGATTTTTGTATCAATTAGTTCTTTGCTTAAAATATTTTTTTTTTAAATAAAGTTAGTTTAAACAATTTTCCATTTGTTTTACATACTTCTTGTTACACTGTAAATAGATATGTATATCTGCATATAAAAAAAGTATGTTAATACTTAACATGTGTAAGTATTATATTTATTCTACAAATGTATAAATATGTTAAATATTTTTCGAGAGTATGTTTGTAAAATACAAGTTCGTTGAAAGTGCAAAAAACATTACACAATTACATTAAGATGCAAGAACAAGCGCAGGCATGCTTGTTCTTGCATGCTCAAATAGAAATTACACTTTGACAACCATTGCTTTTAAACAAATATGTTTATAGGGATTTGTGTATAAAGGAATTATATATTAGGGTGGTCTCATTTCTACAAAAATATACGTCAAGGAACTTTAATTTTTTTAGAGAACTAGAGCAGAATTTTACAAATATGAACATCATAATGACATTTCACCAGACGTATACGCAATATTTTTTAAATACCGTGAACTCTATATTAAGTATATGTCTATAGATAATTTATCGGTAAATTATGTTCTATAGGAATTTTAGAACTGAACTAGAACTGAAACTAGAAACTGAACTAGAACTGAACTAGAACTGAACTAGAACTGAACTAGAACTGAATAGAACTAGAACTCTGACTGAACTGAAACTAGAACTGAACTAGAACTGAACTAGAATCTGAACTAGAATGAACTAGAACTGAACTAGAACTGAACTAGAACTGAACTAGAACTTGAACTAGAACTGAACTAGAACTGAACTAGAACTGAACTAGAACTGAACTAGAACTGAACTAGAACTGAACTAGAACTGAACTAGAACTGAACTAGAACTGAACTAGAACTGAACTAGAACTGAACTAGAACTGAACTAGAACTGAACTAGAACTGAACTAGAACTGAACTAGAACTGAACTAGAACTGAACTAGAACTGAACTAGAACTGAACTAGAACTGAACTAGAACTAGAACTGAACTAGAACTGAACTAGAACTGAACTAGAACTGAACTAGAACTGAACTAGAACTGAACTAGAACTGAACTAGAACTGAACTAGAACTGAACTAGAACTGAACTAGAACTGAACTAGAACTGAACTAGAACTGAACTAGAACTGAACTAGAACTGAACTAGAACTGAACTAGAACTGAACTAGAACTGAACTAGAACTGAACTAGAACTGAACTAGAACTGAACTAGAACTGAACTAGAACTGAACTAGAACTGAACTAGAACTGAACTAGAACTGAACTAGAACTGAACTAGAACTGAACTAGAACTGAACTAGAACTGAACTAGAACTGAACTAGAACTGAACTAGAACTGAACTAGAACTGAACTAGAACTGAACTAGAACTGAACTAGAACTGAACTAGAACTGAACTAGAACTGAACTAGAACTGAACTAGAACTGAACTAGAACTGAACTAGAACTGAACTAGAACTGAACTAGAACTGAACTAGAACTGAACTAGAACTGAACTAGAACTGAACTAGAACTGAACTAGAACTGAACTAGAACTGAACTAGAACTGAACTAGAACTGAACTAGAACTGAACTAGAACTGAACTAGAACTGAACTAGAACTGAACTAGAACTGAACTAGAACTAGAACTGAACTAGAACTGAACTAGAACTGAACTAGAACTAGAACTGAACTAGAACTGAACTAGAACTGAACTAGAACCGAACTAGAACTGAACTAGAACTGAACTAGAACTGAACTAGAACTGAACTAGAACTGAACTAGAACTGAACTAGAAGTGAACTAGAAACTGAACTAGAACTGAACTAGAACTGAACTAGAACTGAACTAGAACTGAACTAGAACTGAACTAGAACTGAACTAGAACTGAACTAGAACTGAACTAGAACTGAAATAGAACTGAACTAGAACTGAACTAGAACTGAAATAGAACTGAACTAGAACTGAAACTAGAACTGAACTAGAACTGAACTAGAACTGAACTAGAACTGAACTAGAACTGAAACTATTGTACACACTTGAAGTTTTTGAGGCTCATCATTTGAAACAGAAATCC